GGCCCTCTGCCCCCTCCAAAGCTCCCAGGCAGGGATGTGTGGGGAAGGGGACAGACATCAGGCCCAGACTTTCCCCCCACCAGCAGCCTCCACATGACATGTGGCACTAGGGCCACCCTCACTGCCATTCCCAAGTGGCACAAGCAGCAGGGCCAGGGCTTTGGCGCGCTGCTGAAGTACCCGTTTGGCACCAGGGTGTGAATTGTGCCCCTGGAGAGGGGGGTGACAAAGAGGAAGAGCTGGGGGCCAGCAGTGCCACATCACCCCACTTTCAGTGATGTCCCCAGCATGTGCCCCTGGAAAAGTAAGCAGCCCCAGCACTCCAGAACAGCTCCCCCTACTCTACTCCCTGCCCCAGCCCAGGCAGAAATAGGCCTGTGCCTAGGGCTGTCAGCCATAAGGCTCTAGAGAAAATCCTCCAGGAGCCTCCCAGCAGCACAGGAGGGACAGGAACCCCACCTCCCTGTGGGACAGGGGACAAGGCCAGATGTGGCCATGCCCAGCCAAGCCTGGAGTCCCCAGCCTTGGGGTCAGCCCTCCTCTCTGGGGTGGTCCTTGGGCTGCACAACCCTCCTGGGGAGTGTGTGTGGTCCCCCTGGATTTCCCAGGCCTTGGTTTGGGGCTGACCCCTGCCTCTGCCCCCAGAGAACCCAGCCCAGCCCTCACTGCCTCTGCCCACCCACCCTACCAGCCCCTGTCCCCCTCCAGCTTTTCCATCTCCCTTTTGGGCCAATCCTTGCTGCTCATCCCCACAGGCCCCCTTGGCTTCCAGGCTGTTCAGATTCCCCCTTGGACAACCAAAGCATTCCCATGCTCAGGAGACTGAGCTGTGTTCCAGGGGCAGGGAACAGAGCAGCAGCCAATTCCCATATACCCTACTCTGACGAAATACGGAAGAGCTGACAGCAATGCCTCCCTGATTCCATACCTAAGAGCCCAGCCCAAGGCTCAGAGCTTGGGAATCGCTCCTTTCTCCAGGCGCAGCCAGCTCCAGCTCAGCCACACGGCCAGGTCCTGCTCTGCCATGGGACGATGGTGGCCAGCAACTCACCTCCCTGAGCTAGAAGTGGAGCTCCAACAGCGGGAAGGTCTCTCCTGCCTTCTCCCTGCCTAAAAACAGGGAGACAGGGAGCACAGGAGGGGCTCCTGGTCAGCCAGAGGGAAGAGTCCCAACAGGGCAGACAGCAAAAAGAAAGATGTCAAGGAAAAAAGATGTAAGGGCTTTATTATACTTTGAATTCCAAAGCACCAAGACATGCCAGAAGACATTCCTTTCCATCGGGAGCTCAGCAGAAAGGCTGGGCTGACAGATGGCACTGCTGGGGTCAGGTTTAGTGCGCTTGTGCCCGCCCTGGCAGCTTGTCCCTGCGGTGGCACGGACATGGCAGAGTGCAGGGGAGGGTGGCCAGGTCCCCGACAAGACAAGGGGGTGGGAGGCCAGACCCAGGGCCCACCCAGAGGGAGCCCTGGGGTCCCAGCACAAACTCCCACCCTGGCCTTCCTGGCAGCCAAGGTCACAGAGCGGCGGCTGTGCCGGGAGGAACAGCTGCACTACCCGTAACCGAGAGGGAGCACTGCAAGTCCCTGGGAAATTCATCTCCTGAACGTAAAATAGCTGAGATTTCCTGAGAAATGAAATTCCCTCCCAGGGGATTGGTGGGACAGCCACAGGTACAGGCATACCCAAACACACACACATGCGCTTTCTCTGATCAAACCATGACTCCACGGCTTCCACGCACACACAACGGCAAAGCTCTGCTTCACCCAAGTCAGAACTAACCTACCTCCTCCCGTTCCTCTGCCTCTGCGCCCCCAGCGCGCCAGGCACAGCGGGTCGGCTTGCGTTCAGTGCCATTACGTCCAAACCCTGCCGGTGCACAGCTCCCCCGAGCCGGCAGGTCTGCGCCTCTCCTGCTCCGAGAGGAGGGAGCTTCCCCAGGGCCAGGGCAGCGAGCCCCTTCAGTAGCCAGGGGCTCATGAGGCAGCACTTCCAGCGTGGTTCCAGCCCACATTTTCTGGGATGCGTTCCCCAGGTGCAGTCAACACAGAGCCAGCGTGGGGGAAACCCTCCGAACAGCAGCCCAGGGTGCGGGGTGACAACCGGGTGTCACCAGTCCCGTTCCGAGGGCTCCCGGTAAGGCAGCCCCAGCTGAACGAAGACATCCCTCTCGGTGGGAGTGGGCAGGGTATGGCCAGACGCCACCTTGATGCCCCCGGGGCCTCGCACCACAGCCGAGCTGAGGGCGTGCTCCGAGAGGCTCATGCCCTTGGTCTTGGCCAGGGCCCGCATGGAGCGGTTGAAGGGGGCCGAGCCGGTGAAGTAGAGCAGAGCGCAGGCAAACTCACTGTAAGGCACCACGATGATGTCAAGCCGGCGGTGACGCTGGGCTGGCCCGGGGAGGCGGCACACCCCCAGGTACTTCTTCTGATCGCCGTTGTCCTCCTGGCTCACCAGGTCATCCGTAAGGAAGCCTGGGGAGAGAGAACAGGCAGAGAGGAGCTGAATGGTAGACTGACACCCTCACCCCAAACTCCCCACTGTCCAGACAGCAGCTGAGGTGTCTCATAATGTGCCGTGGGGCTCCAAGGGTGACCCAGCCTCAGCCCCAACAGCCTCACGCAGAGGGGAGAAGCCACGCTGAGCTGCAGCAACCCCCCGGCGGCCGGCCCTGCCACTGCAGCAGGGCCAGCTCTCTAAGGACTTACACGATGGCCTCTCCTTGCGAAAAGCAACCACCTGCCCTTCAAGAAATGCCACTCACCTCACTGCCTCCCCAGCCTGGCCACGCTAAGAAGAGCTTGGAGCGCCACGCGCCAGCCCCAGCCCTCTTACCGCTCCTGCGGAGGCTGTCAAGCAGCTTGCTGAACACCCCACGGTGAGACTGCCCGTCCGGGTGGGTGACCAGCACATCCACGTCTCCACACGTCGGCTTCCCCCGGCGGTAGGAGCCACATGCCACACACACGAGCCCAGGCTTCAGGGCCAGGGCAGCTTGTCTGACCTCCAAGGAGAGAAAGAAGAGTGAGGAGTCAGAGACCAGTCTCTCCATGCCCTTTCCATCAAGGCAGCAAGGGATCTTGTGCCTGCCCTGTGGCCTGTCCTGCATCTCCAGGCTCTCCATAGGGAGCAAACGCTTGGCAGGCAGGGCTAATGCCCCACCAAGGAGGCTGGCCTGCTGTCGGGAGCCACATGAGCCAGGGCAACACAGTGCAATGACCTACCACGGCGCTACCATCAGCTCTTGGGTGCAATGCTGAGGAGGCAAAGTACAGCACAACCTTCCAGAGCCTTGGGTTTCTGAGGCAGCAGGAGGGAAGAGGTTTTTCAGCTGCCCTGTGGGCCAGGAGGGCAAAGCTCACCAGCTCTGCCCACAGAGAGAACCAGTTCAACACGAGGTGGTCACTGGTCCTGTTTCGGAGGCAGAGATGGGTCCTGGAGAGTCTCCTCAGCAGGACCCAAGGCAGCAGAAGATCTGCAAGTGTCCCTGGGAGCCCACTCCTGCCAGGAGCTCTGCCTTTGCAGGAGAGCTGGGCTTCGTGATCCGGAAAAACCACAGATGTCCCAGCATTTTAGGCCGAACGGATGCCAACATGCTGCTGCCAGCTATCAGGCACATATAAACAGAACTTCCCCTAATGCAGCCACCTCCAGGCTGGACCCCAGCTCCTGTTTTGTGCCGACAGCACTCATTCTGATGGCTTCATTCATTAAATGTTTAAGAAAGGCTCCCAGGTTCTCAGACAGTATTCCTGGTCTGATTGTGCCAATCACCCTGCTGGCAGCAAATAATTAGGGGCTCAGCAATTCCCAGTGACGAGGCCATCACAGAGGCTGGGGTTCAGGATGGCAGTGTCTGTGCCCACAACCCCTTGTCACTCTTGGGGATCATCCTTCATTAGCAAGAGATAAACCCATTAACCTTTGCCCCAGAGGTGCTCCAAGAAGCCACAAGCCTTTCTCATGCGGAGCAAGCCCTCCTCTGGTGTCCTTGTCCTCCATTCTGGCTTTAAATGAAGATTTTTAGAAAACTCCCAGCCCCACCCAAGAGCCTAAAGGCTCCTCAGATCTTACTGTGACAGGCAGCACAGACAGTGACTAATCCCTCATTCTCTCTCCTGGGCCTGGATCAGAGGTGTGTGTATGGAGGGGAACGCAGTAATCCCATCAGGATAACAAAAGACCCACCCCCAAGAGCCAGCTCCTCGACCCAGCCTGCCTGGGAAAGGGATGGCTCACCACCAAAATGGCTAATCCAGCACAGGGGACTGACACCCCAGCAGGAGCCTGGCAGCAGCGTATTCTTCGTGGCCAGGCCCTGTGGCCGAGTGACAGGGTCACGCTGGCTGCTGCTTCCATGGTGATCAGAGAGCACAGGGGTAGCAATGATGGTGTGTGCCCCCCAGCTCTCTGCTCGCATTAGGGTACACTGGTTTAGCACCCCATAATCCTGGAGTGCCATGGCAAGCAGCACCCATCTGCAACCTGAATCCCCTTTGCTTCCAGCAAGGATACCCACACCCTGTCACTGACAACCAGCTTGCTGGGTGCTCGTGGCTTCCTCTGGAGAAGCAGCACCAGGGAGACAGGTCAGGGGCCTCAGCTGAAGGCAGACATCTCAGAAGGTGAGAGGCAGGAAAGAGGAGATGGAAACCTGCTCATCCCACCATGCCACACGCAGCCTTTTACAGAGCAGCGTCTACAGGTGACATCGTGAAGCATCCTCCTCCTTCCCAGGCCCTCACACTGAACCTTCCTACGGGGCACAGTAGGTGCCCATGTCCAAAACGGGTCCCACAGGCACTGACCCTGTTCAGAGAAGAGGCTAAAGAGCTCAGCTACAACAGCAAGGGACATTTCCTCAGCACACACCTCTGAGGGCCCGGGCTACTCACGGTCTCTTCTATTTCCGCAGCTTCCTCCCGAGGCATGCGCTCCAGGAAATCCGCGTAGTGCTTCAGCCCCACAGCTTGCTGGCTGGTGAGAGTCGCCTTGCTGTGGATATCATCCAGTGTCCGGAAACCCTGGTGCAGACCACATGACGATATTCTATCATCGATCAAGACTTTGCTGATCAAATGCTTTCAAGCAAAACTTGGGGAGATTGTATTTAACCCGTCTCAAGGCCAGGCCGGTCACGGCTTCTGAGATCACATGTAGAGATCACTTAGGGCCCGGTTCCTAAAAGAAGGGATTTAGGCAATCCCACTACCCACACACCCCTCTAATCTCCACCCCACAATGACTGAATCTTAACTAAACCTGACAGAAGGCATCTGTTCTTAAGGTGCTGTGATCCTGCTTGAAGAAAACAAGCAAGGCAGGTGAATGAACAACACCCACAACATCCCGGTGAGGGAAAGCCTACAGCATGAACATAGCCGTGTTTTTATGATGGCAGAGAATCCAGTCACAAACCAAACACTACAGGAAACGAGGCTTTGCTAGCTCTGTGCTCAGGAAACACACTGCTTTTAAAGGAACCCACCTAGCAGGCTGGGTTGCTCCTGTTGGCACAATTACTTCAACCTCATTTTTACAACCTCCAGACAAGGTAGACGGCTGCTCCAAGAGCTGCAGGAGCCAGCTGGGCCAATAGGCCAGCACTGGACGAGGAGGTTCCGTGGCCAAGACATCCTGGTTGAAGTCTGGCTCTGAGCAGAGTCATTGCCATGAGTGTGAGATGACCTCCAAGCAGTGACGCTAACGGAAGAGGCAGTGTGTCCCTCATGTCTCCTGTCACACATCTCAGTCCTCTGTCCCCACACATGCTGAAGTTTCAGCCAGGTGCACTCCGCTCTCCCCAAACATGCCCGCAGAGGGACCCAGCCTCACAGCTCCTCCCATAAAACCAGATTCAAATCTTATCCGTGGACACTGGCAACTGGAAACTATTTGTGAAAGCTGCTCCTACACCCAGCAGCAGTCTTCAAACCATAGTCTGAGAACCTTTTGTGTAAGGCACTGACTTACCTGCTGGTACCACATCTGAGCTGTCTTGACCCCTGCTCCCCAGATGTTGGAAAACAACTCCAGCACAGGCACACTCTCACTGATGTGATCCAGCTTGCGCAGGTGCCCACTCTCCAAGATCTCCAGGATCTTCTCTGCCATCCGCTTCCCAATCCCAGGGATTTTACAGGCTTCCTAGCAAGAAACCAGAGCTGCTACTGGAAAACCACAGACAAGCTGGAGAGCTGCTACCCACTCCAAGCCCAAATTAGCCATTTGATCAGCGGTTGGTAAGTGGCAGGACTAGTTCTGCCTGATGGTCTCCCCTCTAGCCCAGGGTTACAGAGGCTACACCAATTCAATGCACGTGGAAAAGGAGAAGCATGCAGAACAGGACTGAAACACACTGAGTGGCTGGACTGTCACAGTCAGTAAGGCTCAGATCCAGTTAGTTTTACATATTTTCTCGAATAGTGACCAGCTATGGATGTTTAAGAGGAAGGTAAAAATGTCCCTGCATTGTGCCTGGGGAAGGCATTTGTCTCATGAGTGCTCAGGTGTGGCCCTAAAAGGCTCAGACTCCACTTTCCTACTGTTCTGAAAACACTGCAGGTGGCCAATGAATCCCAGCTTGCACTCACTACACAACTTCCATCAAAGTCACCACACAGGAAGGAAATCCCAAGGCCTGAAGATAAGCTATCCATCCCTGGATGTCTTCAAGGCCAGGATGGATGAGGCTTTGAGCAACCTGGTCTAGTGGAAGGTGTCCCTGCCCATGGCAGGGGGGTTGGAACTAGATGATCTTTAAGGTTCCTTCCAACCCAAACCGTTCTGTGATTCTATGATTCTATTCCACATACAGAAAGAGGAAGGGATCTGGCTCATGACAGAGCTAGGATGCTGGCTCGGTCTCCCTGCTCCACCACCCTGGAAAGGTGTTTTACCTGGTAGGAGGTGACCGGTTTGTGGTAGCTCTTGAGCGCATTGATGGCTTTGGTGTAGCCCAGAGTTCTCCACTTGTCCCCCTGGACAGAGTAGGCCTTTGCCAGCACTTCCAGCTTCTCTGTGATGCCTTGGTTGTGGTTCTCCTTCTTGCTGTTGGAGGACTGGGCACAAACCCATTTGCTGGCAGGCTGGGCCACTGTGGAAGAGCTGTCACTGGTTTCCTCTGATGATTTCACAGGGTAGCGGCCAGAAATCAACGCTTCCAGGTCTCCCTGGGTGACACTAGCATCTTCTCCTTCACTGTCTTCATCATCAGAGTCTTTCTTTAGGGAGAGGTAGAAAAGCAGCTATGTGAGAATAAGTACATGCCTCCCTTATGTCCCCTTGGCACAGGCTGTTCCCCAGAGTAGGCCGTCAGAGCACTACGCAACCTCGAAGGCACGAAGCGCTCTAATTGCCACCTCTAGGCGCAGCTGGTAATGTGCACACCATAGCTCTTCATGCCTATAGCAACACACACACACCTCACAAAGCACAGGAGACCAGAGACTGCTGTCCACCTGCGATCCAAGCACACACCACCTCCTACAGCCAAGCCCCTGAGGCCTAACTGAGGTAAGACACTGGTTAAGTGAGAGCTGCTGCCAGCAGCACGGTAAGACAGTGCTGAAATCCCTGGCTGCAGCAGATCCTGACTCCCTACTCCCACTGGGAAGCTTTTCGCTGGTCCGGTGACTGCATAGGCACATCTCTCGCGTTCAGACTCTGCACCTTCCACCCCACGATGCTGATGACAGGAGGTAGGCACTGAACTCTGTTTTTCATGTTACAGACACAAAATCTTAACAGGGTAGTAAAATTACAGCCCCCCCATTTTCCCCATGGCTATCTGCAAGAGAAAAGGGGGAGGAAGGAAGGACACAAAGGACTCCACATTCCTCAGTGACAGAAGAAAGAACCAATGTATACATTTGCTGATACCCTCAGCATTAGGATGCCTCTGTGTAGACTTAAGAAACAATGAGCCTTGGCTTCAGGTAAGGAACAAAAGGGGATAGAAGTGGGAAGCCGCACAGAAGCTTTGTAGACTGCTTTGCTCACTGGGGTACCCTCTCTCTCCTGATGTATAAACACAGGAATCCACAAAGATCCAAGAGCTTCTGTGGTGTGGAAGTAACCCTGAACAGCACAGGGCTGTTTGGGATCAGTCCAACAATTCCATGCAGCACAAAGTCCTGTTAAGACTTTCTGCAGGGCATCAGCCTAAATAAGTCAGAGCCATATCCTTACAACCTCTGGTTCTGCTGGCTAAGGAGGTCTGAAGACACCATTCCTGCAAGACACAGAGCTGAAGTTTTTAGGCAGAAGAGGCAGGATGTTTCCCTTCTGTAATCTTGCTTTCTAACTCTGAAAACTGGGTCAGACTGAGGCTTTGATAGACTAAAGCAGTTTTATTCACCTTGAAACGCAGCTCCCTTAAGACACTGTTGCCTCTAAGGGCAGCAAAGCCTCAGAGTGTTCAGATCGACTAGCAAGCCCCTTAAAATCATAGAATCATAGAATGGTTAGGGTTGGAAGGGACCTTAAAGATCATCTCGTTCCAACCCCCCTGCCATGGGCAGGGACACCTTCCACTAGACCAGGTTGCTCAAAGCCACATCCAGCCTGGCCTTGAAGACATCCAGGGATGGGGCATCCACAACATCTCTGGGCAACCTGTTCCAGTGCCTCACCACCCTCTCTGTGAAGAATTTCTTCCTGACATCTAATCTAAACCTCCCTGATTTCAATTTATGCCCATTACCCCTTGTCCTATCACTACAGGCTCTTGTAAAAACTCTTCTCCCAGTACCCTTGTAGGCCCCCTTCAGATACGGGAAAGCTGCAATGAGGTCTCCTCGGAGCCTCCTCTTCTCCAGGCTGAACAAGCCCAGTTCTCGCAGCCTTTCGTCATAGGAGAGGTTGCGCTCTGAAAAAGCACTGAAGGAGCATGTTACCCAGCCACAAGCCACACAAGTCTGCAGCTGGATCATGCAATTCCCACCCTCTCAGCCAGCAGTGTCACCTAAGTGAAGCAGCACACAAACCCCTCACTCTCTATGCTTCACCAGCAAAGCTGACGGACTCTTTACAACCATACGTGCAAAACCAACTCGTCCCAATAGCTTCCAAGATATTCCAGGATCCTACAGCAGTTGGCTTGCTAGAGCTGGGCGAGAATGGGATGCGCCCGGTTTGCCCGGAGCGCAGCAGAGGAGCCAGGACAGCAGCCAAAGCAATACACCACCTGCGAGGGAGGGAGGCAGCCTGGGGTAACAGCCCAGGGTGCAGCCGGTGAGTAACTGCCACCGCTCGCAAAAGCTGCCTCGTAGAAAACTGCCACATCCAGATGCCAGTGACAACGTGGTTGCTACTGTCTGACTGGTAACAGGGTTTCCTCACGGGAGTTTGCATCCAAACAGAGAACTCCCAGAGCGCCTGTTTGATATGAAACACCATCACACCCCTCATCTCCTTGAGGAAAACCATCCACCCAAGCTAGGGAAGACTCTGTGCTAAACGGAGGCTACTTCTAAGTCAAGATTTCAGCTTTACTGTTGTGGCTGGGCATTAAAAGTGGTTGGCAGAGTGTTTAAAGCATATCCCATGAGTTCTCCCCAAACTCACACAGTCTAAAGCTTGGGACAAGGAATTTTACTGAAGAGTCTACAGATACTGCTTTTGTGCAGAGACTAACAGGAAACATCATTGCCTGAGGGGATTTAAAAGAAAAAAAGGGCAATAAGGCTTCAGACACTAGCAGCTGTCTGACCACCCAAAGTAAACGTGAGCAGAAAGTGGGGCAGATACCACAGGGTCCGTGACAGTACAAAGATCCTTTCTCCCATTGTGAGATTTGTTAATAACGACTGCCACTAAATTAGAGTTACAAGAAAGAGCAAAAATGAGGTAACTGCAAAGGTGATACAGTTAAGCAGCAACCTATAGCGGATAGGATAGCAAGTCTGGGGAGAAAAGATCTCCCCTACACATACTCAAGAGAAAGCCTAAAACAAAGGAGGCCTCAGCAGGCTGCCAGCGAGAGAGTAACTACAGGGCTTCGTGAAATAGAACTTGGGACTGCGTTAGAAACAGACACCAGCCTGCCAAGGCAGCTGCTGCTCCAAGGCAACTTCACTACGGAAGGATTCGAATGATGCCACTGCTCAAAAAGAATTCGGCAATCTTGAGCAAAAGCAGAGAGGAAGGGAAGCAAGCTAACAGCAGGTCAGAGAAGCTGACTCACCGCAGAGGCCACTAACAACCCAACGCAGATCTTTTAAGCACAGCACCACAGTCGTGCGAGTGGCAACCTGATCTGCTGCACATGTGTCTGCACAGGGCGCTTTCCAAGGAGCCCAGAAGGGGTCAGCGTGGCTCAGGGAGGCACATGGGATGAAATATCAGAGAGAGCTTCCTGAAGGGGAGATATTCTCAGCCAGGGAATATTCCTCAAAAGGACACAGGGGTAACATGATCACCAGAGTGAGCCTTGGCCTGATCAGAGCACCAGGACTGCTTCAGCTGCAAATGTTCTGGTGGATACAGGAATTTAAGGGGTGTTGTTTTGTACTTTTAACACCTAAAAGGAACAAAGAGAAGCAGTAACCATGTCCACAGCCTGAGTCTACCAGCACCAGTGCAGTGAAACATCCAAACGTCCTCCTTTTGCTGAGAAAATCTGGCACTGTATCTCTGAAGGGATGCTCTCAGCCAGAAAAAGCAGCATGCAGGATCCATTCCCAAGGAGTAGGGCCTGCGCGGGAAGCCTCACCTCTGCCAGCTGCTGCTGTCCAAGGGTGCCCAGGCCTCGCTGCGAGGAATCGCCCACCTGGGCGACAGCATTTGACTTCACGGCTCCCTCCCCGGCTGGGGGCTGGGTCTCTTCACTGCCGAGGACCTGCTGCTGCTCCTTCTGCTGTTCTCCCTCCTCCAGGTACCTGCCATGGATCAGATGCTTTAGTATAGGAGAAGGAGGAAGCCCCCAGAAGCTTGACTGAGAAACCCTTCTGCATGTTTTGGGGTGGAGCAAGCAACCCATATGAATTGTAGTCTCTCAGATCACAGATTAATTACTCTGCTTTTGGCTCAATTCCCCAGTTTCCATCCATTTTGCTGACCTGCAACTTCCACGCCTATCTATCTCACTCTTAAGACTGTTTCTCCAGCAACTCTGCCAAAACATTTTGATCCCAACCTGTGGCTGTCTGCTGCTCCAATCCTTATTTTCTCTTGTGCCTAGCTGTCAATTCTCTCTCTTTCATCTGCACTAAGTAAGAAACATTATTTAATCCTCAGCATTTTTAAAAGAAATCTCCTTGTTATCACTGATGGATTAGGAAGACGAGCCTTTAGGACCTGTAGCAAGTGACAGGTCCTCTTTGCACTTCTGGCCCTATTCCGTGTTTTGCTATCCCACAGAATGGCAACTGGCCACAAAGTCACTACGTATTTCAGTTGGTATGGGGAAAAGTGACTCTGAGTCATGCCTGCAGGAGCTGCAAGGAGTTGCAGTATGAGATTTTGAGCAGAGGTCAAATTTTAGCGCTGTTCAGTTCAAGCTACAAGCGCTGTAGGGAGGAATGACAGTGTGGCATTCGCATACCTGCGAGGGATAAAGACACCGTAGCCTGTGGTACTCAGCAGCTTCTGGTCTCTAATGCAAGCACTTAGCCAGGATGCCTTCACTAGCTGCAGCCCTGAAGGTAGCTTGGTTAATTTAAGGAGCCGAAAGGCCCGATCACAGTCCATGTCTTCAGCCACAATGACGTGCGTCACCTCCGAGGAGAGCTGGTTGTGTACAACACCCCCATTCTGGACAATCTGCTTGTGGAAGATCTCCACCCTGGCTTGGCCGATGCCAGCTTGCAACACGTAGGTGGTGACCGGTTTCAGCCACTCTGCTGAGGAAAACACAGAGGCAGGAGCTCAGTGGTAGGAGAAACAGTGTCCCAAACCAACTGGCCTACATATCTCACGTAGGACTTGATGGCACTGACAGTGGCAACAGTCTCCAGGGGGCAGCAGCTGGAAAAAACAAAGCAACCTGGCCACGGCAGCTACAGAATACACACTTGGGTGCCAGACTTTCCAGCCTCTGGGGGAATGAATGGCACCTCCAGTTAACAGGTGGGCTGAGAGTATTATATTCCACGTCATGGGCATGTGGGACTTACCCTCAGGTATTTCTGTTCCTTCCTCTTTCGGGATCTTTGGAGGGACGCGTTTCTCTGAGTCATCCCTCACCTTCTTCCTCTTGGGAAAGGCTTTGACAATCCCTCGTGGCTCCATAGGCCTGGTGGAAAGTTTAGCTGCAACTGCTGAATACCAGTAAGAAAGAGGGAGGTTGCTTAGAACAGCGTTACACAACTTAAGTTTTGCTCGCTTACTTTGTTGCTTTGGGTATGTTTGTTATGGCCTTCCAAAAAAGTTTGCCCTGAGGGAGACACCTGGAAACAAGAATTTCAGCGCACAAGGTCAGAAAATTAAAGTTAGAAACCACAAAAAAGTCACTTCAGAAGCCCCTGCTTGAGTGTCTTAGAAACCACAAAACCTGAGTTCTTAAAGTATTCAGCTGCTTTAACATTTTGGAGCTGCTTCCTGCCCAGCCAACAGAAACAACTCTCTTAAACACAATCCCACAAAGCGGGAGAGGAAACGCTTCTCCTGCCAAGGCTGAAATCCAGTCACCCACGAGAAGAGATAAAACAGCTGATCCACACCGAGTGTCCCATAGAGCCACAGGAGGAAAAGCCCCAGCCCAGCTTCAGCTGGAATCAGTAAAGATTAACCAGCCCAGTCCAACACGGTTACTTTACCATCCAAACCTTGCAGAGGTAAATGCTGGAGCTTTAACCACCAGCCCAGGCCACCAAGAAGCTTGTTTTTCCCGTAGGCCAAACAAAACCCCGAATTGCCGTATATCCCAACAGCCCCTTCCACCCGGCTGCAGCGCGAAGCCAACGCCAACTTGAAAGTTTCCTCTTTTCTGAGACACTTCATGCTTCGCTTAGAGGTTCCTTACACACAAGCCAGCAAAAACCTGTCACATTAAGCTTGGAAAATGGAAACCACCCGGCTGTGTTTTCTCCCTGTGGTCACCTTCTCATCCAAGTGCTAAATATAATCCTCTGGAAGACCAACCCCGGGCTGGACTCACGTCCTTGCTTCTACAAGGAAGAGCTCAGCCTCAGGGGAGAAGACACCCTGCTGCATTTCTAACACTCAGCATCAAAGGAACGTTTCTGTTTTCAGGACATTTTGACCCCTCACCCCAGCCCCTCTGAAATTGTCTATTGCGCGTAGAAAAAAAACCCACACCACAACCCTCTCAGCTTCCAGGTACCCAAGCCCTCTCCAGAACTCGGAGGACTGTTTTTCTAGGCAGAACTTCAGCTGACCTGACCAAACCAAGCACGCCCGGCACCCAGCTTGACCCAGCACCCTCAGGCCAAGAAGGCTTCACCGCCACCACCAACCCCCCCGGCTCGCCCCATGACAAGCGGCTCCCAGACCTGGGGCGCAGGAAACAACTCCCCCGAAACCTCGCGGCTGGGCCCGAGCTCGGGGAGCCCGGGGGAGGAAGGCGGC